TAACAAACAATAAGTATGTAAAGTAAAAATATTGGAGAAGAGAACAATAGCAACAACAAATAATACATAATTCAAAATTAAAGTGGCAATCTTCACTGTCAGATACTCCATTGAGCTGTTCAAAATTAAAATGCCAATCTTCATAGTGTGATACTTTTACAGCATTAACAAATTTCCGAAGAACAACAGCAATCAAATCAATCCTAATTAGGGCTGTACCCTTTCCACTATTTGGACCAATTTCATTCCAATACCAAATAATTTATCCCTTAAAAGACGCAAATTACACAAGGAAGTGCAGATACAAAATGTAACTCCAATACTAACCTCATCTCCCCACGAACGATATCTTTCTCTGAGAGGCCTGACACCCATTACTGGGCAAATCCCCTCAAGGATGAACCATAAACTAAAAAGAACTCTAAACAGAACTCCATAATTTCTCCTCTTCAACCTCAAAAAATACAATCTTTTTGCCATACCCATTTCAAGATCAATTCAAATTCTTCACTTTCAAGCAATTCTTGAGCAACCCAGATGAAGAAACAAAGCCCATTACAGTTACAATTTTTTTTAAAAGACAACTTTAAGAGAGAGAAAGAAAAAAGGGTTGCTTAAATTGAAGTCAAACAACATAAAACAACAACCCCAACAACAAAAATCAACTTCAGAGAAAATGAAAGCTCAACATAAACAGAATCATTGGTTTTGTTGATTTGTGATTCACCAAGAATCACTTCCCTAGTCAATTCAAGAACCAAAAACTTAGAAAACTCCACTTGTATTTCTTTATTCAAAAACAGTTATACAATCTATAAATAACATAGTTGGGGTGTTTTCAGTTTTGCAGAAAGTAAAAATAAGCTAAAGATCATTTGACATTGGTCTTCTCCTAATTTTTAACTGGTAAACATGAAGCATAAAGCTACTGTTTTGATAGAAGACGCTGGATTATTGGGCTGTAGAATCATCATCGATTTACTAAGAGATTATTTAAACGGCTGGGATTGAATTGTCTCCTAAGGGATAATTTTGGAGGAATGAATGATGTAGATCAATTTCTTTACAAGGTGTTTGGATCATTGTTATCCGTTGTTGTATTTTTTTTTTGTTGGTTAATAATATTTTTATTATTTGATTTGATTGTATCGTATCGTATTATAATTTATAAATTTACTTAAATGTCTTTAATTATTTTAAATACTAAATTTATCAATAATTAATAATAAAATAACAATATTATCATGCATATTTTTTCATGTCATATGAACATAACATAAATTTATATCATCAATTATAATTATATTATCAAACATTGTCATCTCGTTTGTATCTAGATTGCTTTGATTATATTTTAAAAAATCATATAAAACAATATGTTGAAAGAAACAAAAATATGAAAAAGGGGAAGAACGTATGCTTAAAAAAAACCGGAAGGACAAACAACCAAACCTAGAAAGAGACAAAACAATGTAGTAGTTGCTAGGTAGGAGGTGGGATTAAATAATATAGGGAAAAAGATAAATTAGTATATGAAATATTAAGTAAGGATATCATTGAAAAAAAGAAATTAAGAAACAATGGGAACACACCAAATAAATTGTTCCATAAAATGGGGATTTTCATTGTTATGTAACAATGAAATTTAACAATAGAATACATTTTAAGTAACAATCAAAACAAACATTGTGTGTATGGTAACAATACAATACAATATAATGGGTCACAAGGATTCAAACACAGTGTCAATGTTATTTGAGTTGAGTCTATCGCATAAGCTTTATCTGATGTGATTTAAATTTTCTATGTAAAGCTATTCCACAATAAGCGTTATCCTTTATATACCGTGAGTTTACGGTATTTCTAATACATTTCACTTACAAGTTGTGTGTGTCTAGGGCCTTTTTGTATTGGTTTTTATGTGTTTTTATTGTATTTTGCAGGAATGATGTTCAGGCACAGAAGTATAGAGACAACTGAGAAAAATGCAGAAAAAGGGCATTCACGGAGGTGATCTACGGACCGTAGGTCCATTGACGGTCCGTAGGTGATGATCGTAGATCAGCAGGCAAGGTATGGATGACAAATCAAGGAAATCTGACTAAGTGTGGAACCACGGTGGCCATTGACGGTCCGTAGATCGATTTACGGACCGTACTGATCGATCCATAGAATGAGACTGCGAGGGTTCCAGTACCTGATTTTTGAAGAATCTAAGTGTGGAGCTACGGAGGGGATTGACGGATCGTAGATAGAACGGTCCGTACTGCAAGTTTGTCGTTTGCTTCAGAGAAGCTGATTTTTGGGAGCTGAAATATTTTCTAAGTCTTGGCTGACGGAAGGGACTTACGGACCGTAGATCCATCGACGGTCCATAAGTCAGTCTCGTGGAATGAAGACGCCTGCCTGAACAAACTTTCCTTAATTTGTTTCCCTTTTAATTTAGGATTTGTTTTCTATAAATAGGGCATGTAAACCTCGTTTTTGGGGGTTAGACATTATTATTCTAGTTTTACTTTGTGCCTTTGGAGATTAATTTGCAACTCTAGCAATTATTGATTTCCTAAGTTCGTTTTGAAGATTTTGGCTTTGCAATTCAAGTTAAATTTCTGGGTTTATTATTCTCTTTACGTAAGTTCATGATTCCTTCATCTAAAACTATGAATTGTGTTCTTGCTCATATGGGTAACTAAATCCACAACTAGGGTTGTGGGAACCATGAACGATTAACAAAGTATGAATAGTAAATAAGCAATTCTTGAATAGTGGTTTGCATGCATTGATAATTCTTTTGTTTAAAAGTCTTTTTAACGAGTGCACGCGTTAGAACTCGTCTTGTTGCTACTTGCCGAACCAAGGAGGTAATCAACAAGAAAAGAATTATCAACATAGATTTAGTGTGATACTATCTAATAGGCTAGTGTCGATTGGTGTGAAGTAATAACTAAGCCAAACATCGATTATGATGTCTAATATGAGGTAAAGGTAAGGGTTAGTAAATTATACACACGTAGCCGGACCAAGGTGCGGGGTGAAATTCTCTAGATGCCGGACCAAGAATTTAGAGATACCTAACTTATCACTTTGCATGTAATACACTAGGAAAGGATTGCTATTATTAGGAATACTGCGTTATGAGCTTGTGGGGAACACGTATACCCTAGTTATTTCTCTTATATTGATAAAAGTTGAGTTTTGATTACTGATTACTTATTAAATTCTACTATTTGTTTCATACAAACAAACCCCCCTTTAATTACCTGTTTCTGGAAGTAAGTTGACTAATTGAATATAATTGTTGGTTAAAGTACAGTCTAAACCATTTTCCTCGTGGGATCGACCCCAACCTACAAGTTGGGTTCTTTACTTGATAACGATCGCTTATACTTCTGTAGGGAGGTGTAATTTGAGCGTATCAATCCTGTGTACACAAAATGCTCACCTAAAAGACAAAGATTACATGTTATCATGAGCCAAAAGGAAAAAAGTCACTTTGTTGTTTAAAGTGAAATCTAAGAATAAAGGTAATTTTTTTATATAATAATTATTAGTTGAGTGATCATAATTTTTTTTTACGAAATTAGGCATATTTAAGTTTACTAGCAAATATTATTACAATAAAAGTCACATTGCAAACTTTTGGAATAAGCACAAAAACTTGTGATGATTTGTGACTACTCATAAGACAACAGTTAGTTTCAATTGAATATAACATGAGGGCATACATGATTTGTTATGATTTTATGCCATAAATTTCTTTGTTTATAACATTTGATACATAATGATCCACGTATAATTTATGAATTATATATTCAACAAAACAACAGATCGAATATCGCAAAAAGTAATAGTGATCTATCAAACCAAGAATGCAAGGATAGAGCCACATATAATTGAGGGGTGTCAATCGATCACCCCTTCAAATAATTACAATGTGTAGTTAGAATAAAGTTATTATATATATATATATATATATATATATAAAGCTTATATTGTTATTATGTTGCGGGTTTAACTTTTAAGCAGTGAACATTAATGATATATAACTTTTTACGCTATCAGATTAAAAACAATAACTAGGGACATACATGGTAGGATATTAAAAATTTCCGTTCGGTAATTTGATTTTTAAAAATACTACAATATCATTAAATAATATAACTATTGTAATTCTCCAGATGAGGTCTGAAGATGGTAATGCGTACAAAGATATTATCCCTATCTTGAAACGTGGAGAGGTGTTTCTGATAGACCTCAGCGCAAGAAAAATTACAAAAAAATTACTATTCCATTATCATACTAAATTAATTTGATATGTTCGATAGTTTGCGATATAGTAAATTAGTAGACATATTTTTTTTATTTTTTTTTCTTATTTGAAAATAAAAATAAAAATTGACCTTTTAAGAAACGTATCAAATATATAAACTAAAGCTTCACACATTGAAATATAATTTTAAAAAAAATAACAAGCAAATTTCTTCTATAATTAAGTACACACAAGATAAAATAAAATAAAAAAATAACAAGCAAATTTTTTCTATAATTAAGTACACACAAAATAAAATAAAATATTTTAATCAAAGTTTCAAAGCGTTGACTACTATAATCTATCTTCTATAGTTATAATCTTAATCTTTCAACATTTGAAAACTATAATTAATACTATAATCAATTTAAAAATAACTTACTCTAATCAACTTGCATGATTTTTTTAAAAATGTTTTTTATAACTAAAATCAGATAATATGTAATTTAAATCTTTAAAAAAAATGGCCAGATGTGTAATAAACATTTTTTGCCAAATGTCAAAGTTTTTCTGTAAAAAAAATAATATTACCGTTTATTTATTTATTATTAATCAATAAAAGACAAATTATTATAATTATGATATTTTAACACAACAATTAATCAGCAGCTTATACTTTCCATAAATACTGCTAATTTTCCACTCATTAAACCACAAAATTCTCTTTCCATCTAAAAAAAGAGTATTATTCATGGAGTTTTTGTTGTCTCAAAGCTATTTTTTTCTGATTTTTCTGGGGTTTATTATGTGTGGTTCATTTTGTGAAGCTAATCATACATTTTATGCTGGTGGTGAAAGTGGCTGGGTTTTAAATCCTTCTGAACCTTATAGTCATTGGGCAGAACGAAATCGCTTTCAAGTCAATGATACGATTGGTAAATCCTCTCCTATTTCTTTGTTTGCTTACAAAAAAAGAAAAAAATAAAAGAATGTTTACATTTTATTTAAAAATTATTTTTTTGTATATAACTTTTTTTGGAATCTTTTAATCAGAGGCGAAACTAGAAGGATGAATGGGTGTTCATCCGATCCATTTTGTTAGAAAATCAACTATATATATATATATATATATATATATATATATATATATATATATATATATATATATATATAAATAAATATTGAACTGTGTGAGATTAAAAAAATTGCATCCACTATTGGATCTTGACATAAAGAAAACTTTTAGTGTAATAACAAATGTGGTAAAAAATTATTTTAGATTTAGAGGGTTCATCGAAATTCCTTTCACTGAGAAACCGTACTATGTATATGAAGTTCTTTTTGATGTATATATAGAGTTATACATGTTGAGCCCTTTGGTGAAAATTTTATATCTGGGAAACTTGTAATATAGTAAGAAATGTGGTTAAGAAGTTGTTTTATATTGCTAGTTTAAATTCTAAGCAGCGTGATATTTTAGATTTTTTTCTCTCTAAATCTCCTTGTTAGAATTTCTGACTTAGGTGCAATTAATTTGTGTGTATACTTTATGATTTGACTTTTTTTTTCTTTTGCAGTTTTCAAGTTTGAATTAGGGTCAAATTCAGCTCTTTTTGTTTACAAAGAAGATTATTACAATTGCAACAAGGAGGATCCAATTGTTATATTAGATCATGGTGATTCAAGATTCACATTTAATGGACCAGGCACATTTAGTTTCATCAGTGGACATGAAGATAATTGTGAAAAGGGCCAGAAACTCATGATTGTTGTGTTGTCACCCAATCATACTAAAGCCCAAGAAGCCCAAACATCATTGAGCCCAACACCTGCTGAATCCATTGGCCCAGTTTTATTACCCGCCCCGACTCCGGCTAAATCGGGTGCTCCAGCAGGGTTCATTTCTTGGAGTTTTAGTATTAGTTTGATGATGATAATAACAACTTATTTATTATGTATCTAGGTTTAATTCTTTTAAGTTCTTTGTGTTTAAGAAAGCGCCAAATAGCGTCTATCTCATTCACAAAATTTGTATTGAATACCTCTGATTAAGGGTAAAAGAAGGAACTTTTTTATGGACTAGTACTCATGTTTCTTGTTTTTTTTTTTTTAAAGAAAAAAATACTTATTAAGAAGAAGAGTAAATGTTTAATCTTTATCAAACAAATATAACTAAAGAATATAAATAGTCTCATGTCATTTAAAATTTCAATTTTCTTATGAACTGGAAAATTGTTGGTCTTTAGTTAATCAGTTTATAAGTACTTAATCATCGAAATCGCATTAATGTTGACGGGTTTGTGTGTAAATCAACTTTATAGAGTTGCAAATTTTAAATTGACATAGAATTTAAGAAAGTAAATTACTTCCTTTAAGACACTTAATTTGTTACATTTTTGACTCACATGTCCCTAAGAACTACTCCCTTTAATTTGTTCAACGATAATTGTTCACTATATTATTTTGGGATGTTCAACAATACTTGTCCACTTTATGAAATCAATAAATAATAATTATATAATTATTTTCTAATTTATCCTTATCATTAATTATAGTCATTTCTCTATTATATTTTTCAAGCTATTGCATTTATTATATTCAAAGGGTGATACAGTAAAATTACCCTTCTATTTATAGTTTCTTAAGAAGTGTGCAAAGTCAATAGTGGACAAGTATGAGGGAGTATATATTATGACATTGATACCCTATTTGTTACCCTTAATTATTTAAAATGTTAATCTCTCTTCAATCTTCTACTTTTAGTTATGACGTAAAGTGGTTTGAAGAGAGTAAAAAAGATTTATTAATCTTGTGATATCAAACTAATTAAAAATGTATAGAATATATTAAAATGTCCTTTAATTTCGTTGATCGCATGGTCTTAAATATATTATGTGAAAAATTGAAATTAAAGAATTGTCCAAAAAAAAGATATATTCTTTTTGAAACAAACCTAAGAAAAAAAGTAAGCAAAAAAGAATGAAACCAATGGATCGGAGTACTATAAAATTGTTAGAATGGGTAACATATGTTATCGATGCCAAAAGTTAAAAATTTAGGCTACATTTTAAAAGCGTTCCCAAAATATTTTAGGCAACCCTTTACAAGTGTTGTTCAGATTTAGTGTGGCCGTAGGCCTAAAATGGTGTAGTGCATGCTTCCTCCTCTCCAAAACTTGTTTTTGGGAGTCATATCTTTATAACATGCCTCTAGACTTTGATTTTTGTTTTTTAAAATGGAAAAAATATGTCATGGAATAACAGAATTAAATCTTGAGAATATTTTGCCGCCAGAAAACTGTAACTATTTTGCAACAACGACGAGGAAATACAGCAGAAAATAATAAATAAGTAAATAACTTGGGTTAAATTCAGTTCAAGTTTTAATGAAATTTACATCTCATTCCTCTATTGGAAATACAAAATTAATTAACAAAAGAAACCACTTTTGAAATAACAATATCGACAAGGCGAGTGTTCGAAAATCGTGAGGAGAATTCGAAACTTGAGATGTTAGAAGGTGCAAAATCAATGGATGCAGGAGCTGCTACAATTGCTTCATCGTATCACTTCGCCTCAGATCTACCCATCGAGGTTGCAACACAAGAAAAAGAAAAGAAATAAACACAAATTCTATATATATATGTCTTCAATAAACCTTTCTCACCTCCTACGAATCGTCCAATGGACTAGAAAAGAATACAATCTAGTTACTTACCCTATTGATCCAGAACTCTAAGCAATTCAAACATTATCTTATTTTCGAGATTATAATTCAAGAATTAGTCCTAGCACAACGTGTAATTTGAGTGCAACCACGACGATAAGGATTAACTCGTTGGTTTGCATGACAATTATAATAAGAAGCACCTCGTACATTACAAGGAACATTGTTCCTCGACATTGCCCCATAGCTAACATAACCATTTCTTCCTCCTAATACACGTCGACTAATATCTGACTCCATCATCATCTCTTCCTCCTCATCTATGCAATTTCCCACAAGGCCACCATTGCACTTCCTCGTTGAGATTGCACGGTAATCCTCACCGTGCATGATTGATGATAACGATGATGATGATGATGATGATGATGGATCGATCATCATGATAAATATTGAGAAAATTAAAATTATGCATAGGCGGAATTCCATCTTTTGTTTTTTTTTTTCGAGTTTGTGTGTGTGTGTGAGGGTATTGATTTATATTGGAAAGTTTCTTGGAGTGTAGGGTGGAAAGTGAAGACAAAAGATGGAAATAATTAATTAGGGTTAATATGGATTTTTAGAAAATTATGGTTCATTTGTTATACGTGATTTGAAGTGATTTACGCTTTAGTAGTGTTTGAAATGTCCGGTTCTTGCTCTTTATTTGCTTAGATTTAGCATCATCCGTTACTCCTATTTAATTAGTGTATAATAAATATTGTTATGTTTTTATTATATAAAAAATAATTGAAATTCATAAACGTATACATGACTATATATTATGATACATTCGAAAAACTCTTTTTCCTTCCTTCAAAAAAGATAAATTCAAATATGATAAAAAAAATTTTTAGGACAAATCATAACATATGTATCAAACAATTAGCATGTGAAATTGTTTATATATACGAAATTATAGTGAACAATTTTCAATAATTGTATTTTTTTTAATTATATAGTACTCATAACTTTTAGATTGTCATAATAGATTAAGAATGGTATGTAGTGACAATATGGATTATAATTGTTTTTAAAATCTTAAATGTTATAATTTTTGGTACATAATTTTTGTGTTTTTAGTATAACTAATCTCTGGATACATGTGTTGCACGTGTATCTATAAATCTTTTGGTACATAATTTAATTTGAATAATCACATAAAACTATTACTGAATTTGAATATAGTCCAAGTTATTCTATGAATTTAAATTTGACAAAATTTAAGTGCTTACAATATTATCCATTCAAATCATGTTTATATTAATCATTTATCAATCTATAACTATTTTTTTCGGCATTTTAAGTTAGAGTTTTAAGTTTTAAATGTACAATGATGATACTTTTATTTTTTAAACCATAACTTGTTAGTTGATCCATAACAAGTAGTAATTGGAAAAAAATCTAAAAATATATAGCAACAATATTCGTCCACTTCAAGACTTAACTAACCAATCTTTCATCCAAAAATTTACACATATTTCTCCATGAAGGCCATTCATTCAACATTCAAAGTAAATAAATTTGATTTCGAATATGAAATTGTGTTAAACTTGATAAATTCAGAACAATAGAAGTTGATACCATTTCAGATTTCGAGCACGTTTGGATTGACTTTTCATTTTTGATTTATAAGTCAAAAGTCATAAGTCATATGTTAGAAATTCTAACTTATGACTTATTTTTAGCATTTTAGCTTAAACTAAATACTTATAAACACTATTTAAATTTATCCAAGCACTCTAAAAATGTTTTAAAACTATTTTAGCTTTAAAACGCTTAAAATAAGTCAATCCAAACATGATATAATAATAATGGAAGAGAGTTAGGAATGAGATTTTAGGTACAAAATGGGAGAGAATTATTACAGAATAACTTTTCTACCTTACACTAAATAAGTTCCGTATATACTCTATCTTTTGCATACTCAAACTAATAGAATCACATCACAATGAGTATGTTGTGTTTTAACTAAATTCTAAATTTAATTGGTACTGTGATGATAAAAAATATTTGACGGAAACTCACTTTGAAAGCTTCGTAGTTTATGTTATTTTTGGTCTATTTCAACAATCTGATGCAACTTTTTGAGATGATTTTTCTGTCTGTTTTTATGTTAAAAATTACTGGCGGATTTTTTTTTTTTTTGTGTGTTTCTAATTGATCTTTTTTTTTTGTTTCGATTATATTAATTAATCAAAATTTGATAGAAATTAAAAGTGTTCACATTTAATAAATTTTAAAAATTAAAATTGCTCAATTAATTTTAAGGAGACTATTTTAAATTTACTTTCATCGATAAGTAAGGTTATCTCCAACTCAACACTATATTTTATACTATTATAGTGTGTGAATAGTGTCAAACCGAAATTTGTGTGACATTATTCATCAACATCAAATCACCTATAACATTTTTCATTTAACATATTGTAAATTATATGCTTTTAATTAAGTCCCTAATATCCTAATTATTTTTTATGTAATATCTTTATAATATTGATTGTAAATCTTAATTTTGAAAGTTATATATTTATGTAAAAGTTAAAATATTTTTTTTATCACAATGTTACATTTATTTAATTGTGTTTCATCAATGATTTTACTTTTATTTTTATTATTCGTTAATATGTATATTGTATAATATTTGTTAACAATTTATTTTATTTAAAAATTTATAATATAAAATTATTTTATATCAATTAATGAAAATAAGAAAAGAATACGAAGTATGTAGGGTGAATATGTGGGAATAAAAGAAAGATTTGTTTTGTGAAATAAAGAAAATATAAATGAAACAAAAAGAAAAAGAAAAGAAGTGGAAAAACACGCACACATTTATTATATGCACATAAATATTTGGTCCGGTTTACCTAGTGCACACTCACCACGGAGTGCTCAACCAAAGGACAGAGGTTGTAGCGCTGCAGGTTATATTTGGTCTTGTGTGAAAATACGGTTACATAATTACATGATGGAAATCAAAATGTACTTGTAAAGTTCTGTGAATCTATGTTTATATCATAAAGATCTTGAAGAAGCCTATTTGCGCTTTCATCTTTACCAGGGATAGACCCTGAGGAATTATTCCAAGGTGCATTCATACTTTGTCCTTGACTGTCCTGAGAGTATGTTGATACTTGTGTTATTTCACTGTCATGTGAAAGTTTCTCAAATGATTTAAATCTCATTTCGTCGTTTGAAGATGTAGTTCGCTTGATTATTGGTGCTTGCAACGGAACTTTTCCTTCGAGCATACTCACAACAGAAGACATGGATGGTCGGAGAGTAGGAGAGAGATTTGTGCACAAAAGAGAAAGATTTATCATTCGCATTGCCTCATTTTTGGAGTAATTGGAACCGAGGCGAGGATCTACCAGTTCTAACAGATTTCCCTGTTCTTGTAGGACGTAAGCCTAAAATAAACATTGACATACATAGCAAGATGAAATTGGAGAAAAGAAAAACTAAATACGCAAAGATACATCCATAAGAATGTGAGCCGAACTAATGAAACAACTCTGATTCTGATATTTTCTGTGGAGGTATCATAGCAAATACTCTCCCTACGTTTCACTTTGTCTAATTTTAATTTAAACTAAAGATATGTAGAATGTACCAAAATACCTTTAAATCATGTGGTTTTAAATATGTCACGTGGAAAGTTAGAATAAAGAGTTGGCAAAAAAGAAAAGAGACCTTTTTGAAACTCGCTATGAATAAAAGTAAGATAAACAAATTGAAACGAATGGAGTATATATTTGCACAAAACACTAACAAGAGAAGCTTTTTCTGGCTTATCATTCAGAGTGGAATTAAACTAAACATGCACATGCAAGACTTATAATACATGATGTAGCAGCAGTTTTGAAAGATATTAGTATTTGGGAATATTGACAGTTGAGTAAAAAGATAGTTTACCCAGTCAAGAAGGTAAACAAATTCCTCTTTTGGCCTGTAGTTTGTGTTGCTTTTCCCACTGACAATCTCCAAAGCAACGACTCCGAAGCTATAAACATCAGCTTTATCTGTCAAGTAGCCTCTCGTTGCATACTCCGGAGCCATATAACCTCTTCAAAAGAGGAAAAAGAAATGTAAGACACTTCAAACTGACCATGTTAATGTATGACGAACAAATTCAAATGGGGAGAACTGTTACTCTCTCATCATAACATGATAGTACAGAGACAGTTATGATAAGAAGGCTCACACTGTTCCAGCAATTCGGGTGCTAATATGAGTGTTCTCTTCTTCATCTAATTTAGCCAATCCAAAATCTGAAATCTTAGCGTTCAGATCCTTATCAAGAAGCACATTGGTACTCTTAATATCTCTGTGGACGATTTTCAACCTTGATTCTTCATGAAGGTAAGCTAACCCTTTTGCTATTCCTGAGCATATCCTTTTTCTGGTTGCCCAGTCTAGGTTCAACCTCTGGTCGTCACGGCCTAAGAAAGGAGAATTAGAGGAGTATTAAGCATAAAATTATCACTGCATGATTAATGATTTTCAAAATGTTGTTGCAAAGCATTACCAAAGAGAGCTCGTGCAAGACAGTTATTTTCCATGTATTCGTATATCACCAGTAACTGGTTCCCTTCTATGCAACAACCGTAAAGCTTGACAAGGTTTGGGTGTTGTAGAGCTGAAATCATGCCTATCTCATTAACAAATTCACGATTTCCTTGCTTCGACTTGGAAGAGAGCTGCTTAACAGCTATGACTGCCCCATCGGTGAGGACACCCTACAGACAGCAGGATTAATTTACAACGATCATATTACAGACAGAAGGATAGCCAGTAGGAAACATCACCACAGAACCGCAAGCTGTCCTTACGCAAAATCTTTATGGATAGATATAGGTAGAGAATTAATACCTTGTAAACTGGTCCAAACCCTCCTTCACCAATTTTGTTGGCAGGATCAAAGTTATTTGTAGCAGCTTTAATTTGTCTAAGTCTAAAATGACCTGTTTGTAAATCAAGGGCTCTGAGTTCTGTAAACGAGAATAATATCAACGTCAGTATATATAGATCTTCTAAAACATCTGTATGACGAACAACAATTTTTAAAAGAATAAACATCTGTATGATATGTCATGAACATTTTGTTGTGTGCTGACTATCTATGATATGTCATGATGTCTAACTGCCAACAGAACAATCATCTATGATAATTATTTGTATGTTGCAGCAAGAAATCTCGTACATAATTCTGATTATCACAACAGAAGTATCGCCATATCAAATGTAGAGAGTGAATAAATTCTTTGAGGTATATGTTACCTAATTCTTCTTGATTAATTTTCCCTCCAAAAATGCCTTTCTTCCACAGAGAAAATAAAACTATCAGAACCACCACAATTGAAGCGAGTACAATGCCAATAACAGCTCCGACAGGTAACCTG